GGGAGGCTGAGACGGGCGGATCACGAGGTCAGGAGATCAAGACCATCCTGGCTAACACGGTGAAACCCCGTCTCTACTAAAAAACACAAAAAAACGCCGGGCGTGGTGGCGCCTGTAGTCTCAGCTACTCCGGAGGCTGAGGCAGGAGAATGGCGTAAAACCCGGGAGGCGGAGCTTGCAGTGAGCTGAGATCCGGCCACTGCACTCTAGCCTGGGTGACAGAGCGAGACTCCGTCTCAAAAAAAAAAAAGAAAATTACTTTTGTCTATTTAATATCTTTAATAATTATATCATTTCTAAAGCTTTCCACAAAGGGCCATTGCAGTTCTTCAATTTATTGCAAACATATCTTTAAAAAAATGTCAGTCCTAATATTGAAGCTGTAATACAAATTTTAAAATTATTGTCATTATACCGTAAACCACAATGAAGAACATCTTATTTATTTATTTATTTATTTATTTATTTATTTTTTGAGACAGGGTCTCACTCTGCCACCCAGGCTGGAGTGCAGTGGTGCAACCTTGGCTCATTGCAACCTCTCACTCCTGGGTTCAAGCGAGTCTTGTGCCTGAGCCTCCTGAGTAGCTGGGATTACAGGCACCCTCCACCACACTCAGCTCATTGCTTTGTATTTTCAGTAGAGACAGGGTTTCACCATGTTGGCCAGGCTGGTCTCAAACTCCTGACCTCAGGTGATTCTCCCTCCTTGGCCTACCAAAGTGTTGGGATTATAGGCGTGAGCCACCGCGCCAAGCCAGAACATCTTATTTAAACAAAAAGGGATTAATATTTCACTAGGCAATAAATGTAGCAGTTTCTTTTCTCTCCATATCTACAACCAATGGTGTTATTTTACAGGCTAATTCTAAAGAGAAGCAATTTTTAAAAAATGATAAAAGCCACGTTTTGCTCAGAACTACTACTGTTCACATACCATATAAGTTGTTTTACAGCAAATACCCATTTGCCAGGCTCCAGATGGCAAAATGCTAAGTTGTGAGTTCAGTATCGTCCAGCTAGCTGTTCGTCTGAGATTCGGCAGCATGTACCGTTGAGAGAGGACACCGTGTTGCCGCCACTTCTCATAGCTGAGTCTACTATGGTAGACCATCCATGTCCTTAAAATGCAAGTCTTAGCAAAAAGCCTCCCACAAATCCACTGGATGTCACAAAGTTCTGTTTGATAAATTCAGTTGCTTCTTCAATTGTATTGTTGATTTCAGGTGCTGCTTTACTTGCTCATTTCTTAGTCTGTCTTTTTTTTTTTTTTTTTTTTTTTTGAGATGGAGTCTTGCTTTGTCACTAGGCTGGAGTGCAGTGGTGCGATCTCGGCTCATAGCAACTTCTGCCTCCCGGGTTCAAGTGACTCTTCTGCCTCAGCCTCCCAAGTAGCTGGGATTACAGGTGCCCACCACCATGCCCGGCTAATTTTTGTATTTTTAGTAGAGACAGAGTTTCACCATGCTGGCCAGGATGGTCTCAATCTCCTGACCTCATGATCCACACGCCTCGGCCTCCCAAAGTGCTGGGATTACAGGCATGAGCCACCATGCCCAGCCTTTAGTATGTCTTTTTGCTTTGTGTACATCTCTTTCAATTATCTTCCAGTCAATCTGGAAGTCACCGCAGTTGCTGCAAGCTTCCCAACTTTCGGGAGCAAAAATCCTGCATACCAGCCTGTCACACCACACATTCCGATCTGGGGAGCTACTGAGTATTTTTCTATAACACCATAGGTCTCCAACTGGGGCCAAACACTTGATTCCACCGCTGATGTCTTCTTGCATACTCAGTTAAATCCAACACTTCATAAGAGTCGTCATCACTTTCATATTTTTGGGGGCTGGGGTTAGAGGTCACCATGATACCACAGGTGGCCTCTTTTGGGGTGGTCCCTGCCTGCTCTCCTCTTCCTGGCACTTTCAGAAAATAAGTAATAAAAAAATACTGAGAAGAAAATAATAATCTTATTAAGCAAATGGGCTTGTCACTGGTGGAGGATGTCCAGGTTCTTGGCATCTTGAACAAAGAAGTGGACAAAACGCACAAAGCAAGGAAGGAATGAAGGGATTTATTGAAAATGAAAGTACATTCCACAGCATGGGAGCGGCTGGAACATAGGGGCTCAGAGGCCCCGTTACAGAAGTTTTGGAAGTTTAAATACCCCCTAGATGATTCCATTGGTTACTTCGCTTACGCTCTGTAAATGGAGAGGATAAAGTAAAGTTACAAAGTCATTTACAGCATACGCCCTATGGAGTGGATATTTCCTCTTATAGCTGAAGTGTGAATTGGCCTTATATTCCCTGCCTCATGACCCTATTTTCCTATCTCAGGCTCACTGCTCAATCAATGTACACAGAAGCCAATACCATGGTACTGGCTTTTGAGAAAAGAAAGGCTTTACTGCAAGACCAGCCAGCAAGGAGACAGGAGGCAGGTTCAAATCTTCCTCCCTGATTTGGGGTCTGGGACAAGTTTTAAGGAAGCAGAGGGCAAAGGAAAGGACTTAGAAATGTTGGCTTGGCAGGATCTGTTTGAAGGCCTTCAAATTTGGCCATGTATGACAAGGTATGTTGAGTTGGATTTTAGCCCCTATCTTCTGGGCCAAGAGACCCTTCCCTTCTGAGAGTTCAAATGTTCGGGTTCCAGTCATGTCCCAGTCTTCTTCGTTCCAAGGAGAGGAACAGTTGGTTCTGGATGTTTGTTAGAGATCAAACCTTTTTCTAGGGTGCATGCCTGGGCTTTGTGACTTAAGAGTTTTTGGCTCTGTTACACCTGCAAGGTAACTCAACATTTTGTTATAAACAGAGTAAGCCTCCTTTGGGCTGGTCCTGTGGCTGCAACGGCACTTATTCCCACCACCTAGAGTCAAGCGCCGCTGACACACTGTTTACTTCCAGTTCCCACGGCCCCTATTCCCCTATACAAAATTACACAGGAAACATATGCGTTCATTTAATTAACAAATGTATATAAGAACATAGACAAAGCAAAAGTCTCTCTTGACACTCTCCATCTTGACCTGTTCACCGTCCCAGACCAGGTGAAGAACTTTGAAGCTGTGCTATCTGCAAATCACCGGCACAGTCGGAATAAAAGCTGGTCGTGGTGGTGAGGGTCATCCGGGTCGGGACTGAGTCGAGGCAGGTGGGACCGAATGGTAGGGACCTGGGTGGACATCTGGGTCGGGACTGAGTCGAGGCAGGTGGGACCGAATGGTAGGGACCTGGGTGGACATCTGGGTCGGGACTGAGTCGAGGCAGGTGGGACCGAATGGTAGGGACCTGGGTGGACATCTGGGTCGGGACTGAGTCGAGGCAGGTGGGACCGAATGGTAGGGACCTGGGTGGACATCTGGGTCGGGACTGAGTCCAGGCAGGTGGGACCGAATGGTAGGGACCTGGGTGGACATCTGGGTCGGGACTGAGTCCAGGCAGGCCACCTGCCTTGGGCCTCCAACGTTTCTGCACAGGGCTGGGTTTTAAGAGGCTTTCCAGAGCGCTGCCGGGGCGGGGGTGGGGTGAGGTGAGGGGCTCGCCCTGGCTCTCCCACCCCTGCCTACACGCTGTGAGGTCACTTGATTCATTTCTGGAACTAACTTGTAATTCTCAAACAAGTGCTATTAATTCTCTTCCAACAGGAACCGCCTCAGTAACGCGCCGCTGAGTCAGTTTTCAGGGCGGGTGGTTTCCCCAAGTCCACTCCTGAGGCCCCTCAAGCGCACCCACGGCGTCCGGCTTCCCAGGGCGCTCTTTCCCGGGAGACCTTCTCATCCCTGTTTTCTCCCCTCTTCCGACTTCTCCGAGGGCTGCCCCGCGGTCTGTCCGGCCGCGTCCCGGGCCTTGGGGCGGCTGAGGCATGACCGGAATGCGCGGGAGGACGCGGGGCGGGGACGCCAGGGCAAGGACGCGGGGCACGGAGGGGACGCGGGGCACGGAGGGGACGCGGGGCACGGAGGGGACGCGGGGCACGGAGGGGACCCGGGGAGGGCCGGCCTGGCCTGGGTCCTGGTCGGGGCGGCGCTCGGCCCGGCCCGCGCCCCCCGCCCCGACACTCGCAGCCCCGCCTCCGGACCCCCGGTAGTTGCCATCCCCTCGCGGGCCGGGTGGGGCGCGCAGCTCCCAGCCCTGGGAGGTCCCGAGGATCGCGAAACGGAAAGAGAAAAAAGTCTGCGCCGAGCGCCTGGCAGGCAGGGCCCGCCCCGCCTCCCTTCCCGGCTGGTCCAGTCACCGACCTGCGGCTCGGGGGCCGCGAGGGAGGAGGCGCGGGGGGCGCGAGGCGGGGGCGGGCGCTCGGGGCTCGGCCCCGCTCTCGGCTCGGGGGGTTCCCGTGGCCGCAGCAGCGCGGTCTCGGCGGAGGCGGCGGGGGCGCGGCCAGCCAGACCTCTTCCTTTCCAGGGCGGCCCGCGGCGGGAGGCGGGCGGGAGGCGGACGCGGCCTGGCCTCGACGTCGACTACCGCGCCGCCCGCGATGGGAAGCGCCTTATAAAGCCGCGCCCGGCCGGCCGGAGCCACTCGCCGCCGCGCCGCCCCGAACGCGGGCCGCACGCAGCCTCCTGGAGTGCCGGGCCGACCCCGGACGACCCCGGACGACCCCGGACGACCCCGGCCCCGGACGCGCCCCGGACTACCCCGGCCACGGACGTACCCGGGACGACCCCGGCCGGGGCGCGCCTCCTGCGGCCGGGCGGGCGGCGGGGCCGGGGCCCCCTTGGAGGGGGCATGCGTGCGACATGGCCTCGGCGGTGTTTGAGGGCACGTCGCTCGTGAACATGTTCGTGCGTGGCTGCTGGGTGAACGGCATCCGCAGGCTCATCGTCAGCCGGCGCGGCGACGAGGAGGAGTTCTTCGAGATCCGCACGGAGTGGTCGGACCGCAGCGTGCTCTACCTGCATCGCAGCCTCGCGGACCTGGGTCGCCTGTGGCAGCGCCTGCGCGACGCCTTCCCCGAGGACCGGTCGGAGCTGGCGCGGGGGCCGCTGCGGCAAGGTGCGGGGCCGGGGACGCGGGAGGGGCGCGGGGCCGAGGCTACCTTGAAGTGCACGAAGGAGGCGGGGAGAGACTTCAACCGAGATTGCGACTTCTCCCTCCTGCCCACCCTGGACAGGGCACACTTGGACCCCGCGCCCGCAGACGAGGGGTGCCCGGGCGGCGGGGTTAGGGGGACGGGGAGCCGGCCTGCCCGGCCTGGGGGCGCCCCCGGCGGAGGAGCCAAATGGGGCGGGAAAGGGGCCGAGGCCGGCAGGGCGGGCGCCGGACTCTCCCGAGGACGAGTCACTTCCGAGGAGGGCGGGGGCGCCAGGGGCTGAGCGGCTCCCAGGGTCAGCCCGGCCCAGCCCCTGCCCGGTACCTCCCGAGGGCCCGCGGGCGGGCGGGCGGGCCACTGGGAAAGCGTCTGGGAGCAGTTAACTGCAGGGTCCTAGCCGGGGGTCGCGTCGGGTCTGGCAGCCGCCCCTGAGTTCTCCCCGCGGAGGGCGCGCCCCTGGTCTTCGAGCGCGAGGTGCCACGCAGCCCTTCCGTCCCTCCTCGGAGGGGCCGCCCCGCCCGCGGCTGCCGCGGACAGCCAGGGCCCCCCCGCACCCCCGCCAGGGCTGGTCCCCATATTCGAGTTTGATCAGCTGCGCCGCCTCCTCCCCGGCCTTGTGACCGTCCTGGCTCGCGGGAATTCTTGTTTTCAGAAACCGCGGTGGCTTCCCTTTTCCTACGGCTCTGCCCGAGCTTTCTTTTGGAGGCCAAGCTGAGGGGGTGGAAGCGGGGAGGACGCAAGAGAGAGGGGCTGGAGTTGAGACGGGAAGAATGCAGGGTGGAGGGAGCAGGCCGGGGAGGGGGGTCGCCTGGGAGGGCCAGGAGAGTAGAAGGGGCGGGAAGACTGGAGGACTTCCGAGCAGCACCCCTGTCCCCCCCGCCGGACACGTGTGACCACCTGTAGCTCCGCGCATGGGGACAGTGGCCCAGCAGCCTTCCTTCAATCCTGCTCTAAGCGGAGACCCCCTGAAAGCCGGGGGCCAAGTTACTGAACCAGAGGGTGGCCCGTCCGAGTCTCCCCAGCCTGCTGTCTGGCTGCGGTCTTGAGATAACCTCTGTTTTTCCCTGGCGATGGCCCCAACCCCCGTGTGTGAATTACGTGGATAATTAGCTCGGTTCTCATGACACATCCTTTGGAAGGGCTCCCACAGCCAGCCAGTTGGGGCCCTGAGCGAGAAGGCCCGCCCTTCAGGCTTCCCTCTGCTCCCCAGAGCCTCACATTCATAGCTGTTCTCCAGACAGTTGGGTGTTATTTCAAGCATCGAAGCAGTTTTCTTTGGATTTGCTGTTTGTTATGATATTTTAAATTTAACAAATGAATGCCCAAATCAGGAAAGCATCGTGAAGGAACAGCGGTTTATTCAATGACCTTTCCTGGAACGAGGCTTAAACACACTGGAGTCCTTGAGCCTCACTGTGGTCAGGCGTCTGAGCTGCGTGACCCCAGGCAGGCTGGTTGCAGCGGGCTCCCCGTAGGACTCCCCACCTGTAGCTTTGTACCTGTGGTCTCTGACGTTTGTGAGGACTGAAAGGCATGGTAGAGGGTCTAACAAGAGCAGGTTCTCCATAAATGCCAGTTGTCATCCTTACCATGGCATCAGCCGCTTCTGGCAGGGGTTGGGCCAGACGTGGAAAGAGGGTGTGGTTTCGCATCCACGCGGTTGGAAATAGCTCACCTGGAGCAGGAGGGAGGGGCGTGTGAGGAACTCCACTTGTGCCGCACACACGCTGACTCCGCCTCTTTTGCTCTCACCTGAGTTGTGCTGGGTCCGTTATGCGGTCACAAGGTGTGTGGACACGCAACAGTGTGTCCAAAGAGTGAAGAAAGGTTAAAGACGCGAGAGATTACCGTGGAGAAAAGACTCAGAAGGGATATGATAGCTACCTCCAAGTACCTCAAGGGGAACACAAATCAGAAATAGGGGTCAGAGTGATGGTGGCAGGGCTGGTGCGTGGTGAGTGTGAGGCCCAGCGGCTGGGTGTAAAGGGCATTCTAACAGCACACATGGAACTGTTGGAGCTGCTGCCTCTGCTGGGGACAGTCTGGCTCCCCCTGGAGAGAGTGAAGAGGGGAGCCTGGGACCAGAGCCGGGACCATAAGCCCTGCCTCCATTCTAGTCCTTGGTTTTCTGAGGGACAGTTAGCCGGTCCCTGCCCAGCACACCTAGGTTTTGTTGTGCAGCGCCAGGAAAGTCCTTTCCCTTTCTTTGATCCTTTTAAGTCCAGGGAAATTGTTCACCAAGTGAAATATATATCCCAGTAATGTAAGAGCAGATTGCACCTTATTTCCATGCAGATTTATTATTTGCATAAAAAGATTGTCTGGATATACGAACTATCAACACAAAAGGCAGCCAGGTGTGTGTGCTCTGCTGTGCTGCAATGCCAGCTCTTCTCTGCATAATTCCCTATCAGATTCCCCAGTTTACATGTATTGAACTGTTTCTGGGATGAGTTAGATTTGCATTCTCTAGTTCCATTTAAGAGATGTGTGAGGAAGTCTGGATTTCTGAGCTTCTGTTGGCAGTGGGCTGGTGACTCTTGGAAGTGTCTGACTGCACACCCTTGGAGGGTGCGGGAGCCTTGGCCCCGCTTGCAGCTTTGAATCTGCTAGCAATTAAAGGGATGCTGAGCCCTTTTCTTCGTCCCTTGACTATTGCAGTGGGGGTGAATGTGCTTTTTCTCTCTCTGCACACACACTGTGGAGTGGTGCTTGGAGGCCATCCCTGGGCCTTGTATGTGTCACAGTGCCACATCTGCAGGGATGTGTCAACCCTGCCTGGGGTGGAGGCAGAGTGCTCACTAGCGCACTCTCCTGGCCTTCTGTTTGGGTGAGGTCGGACCAGGCTGACCTCAGGACTTGCCCAGCTTCTGTCCTCTAGCCCCTTTCCTCGCACTCCCGCTCTCCCACCTGACCTTCTTCTCATCTGGATTGGATATGCCCCCTCTCCCTTTCTTGTCCCCCGGCCCTAGGGGAGGGAGCTGGCTGTTTCCTGTGGATATTGTCACCGGGTTACCAAGGTATTCCGTTCTTGTGTTTTCCGGTGCGCCCGTCTTTCATTTAAATCCTCTCTGTGCGATACCTAACATGGTTCAGGGTTACCCTTTATTTACATCTCTCACACCTAGGAAGGTTTATGCTTTAAAACATAAGCGTGTTGAATTTCCTTATTGGCAGTTTGAGGCTCCTGGACTTTTTTGATCATTGTTTCTATAGTTTCACGCTTTGTGATGTCTGAGTCAACCAGGTCACCACTGCAGCAGCAGATTGTGTTCCTGAGTAGTCAGGTGATCTTTGATGCTTAGTGGCTGTACTATCAACATTTTGGTTTTACATTTATTCTGTCAAATATCTGCATAGTGCCTACCACATGTATAGGTGATGGTGGCACAACAGTGAACAAGAGATCGAGAACATCCCTGTCCTCATGATTCTTATATTCTGGTTGGGAGAAATCCAATAGTAAACAAGATAAACAAGTAACAAAATATATTAGAGAGTGATACATGTTCAAAAGAAAAAATAAGTAAGCAAAGAAAGGGGCTCCGACTTGCAGGAGCAGTGGAGGGGTTTTGCATTTAGACAGGGTGATCAAGGACAAGTGACCTTTGAATAGAGAACTGAAGGAAAGTGGGGATCAAGCCATTGGGTGCCTGGGGAAGTTGATTCTAGGCAGTGGAAGAGCAGGTGCAAAGGCGCTGGGGCCGGCGTGTGCCTGGTGGGTGTGGGGTGTGAGGAGGTGTAGTGGCTGGTGTGGAGAGTGTTGGTTAGGAAGGGAGAGAGGCAGGTCGTGGTCACATTTGGGCTCTTATTCAGAGAGGGCTCTGAGCAGAGAAGTGATTTGGCCTGACTCCAACTCGGGCTGCTGTCCTGAGAAAGAGTGGGGGAGGCGGGGAGGCAGGTGCTGGGGCGTGGTGCGGCAGAACAGGTGGGAGAAGTGAGCAAACGCTGATTTGTATTGAGGGGGAGTCACAGGGGTACTGCAAGGCCAGACGTGGGGTGCAGAGGAGTGTGCGTATGACCCCAGAGTTTTCAGCCTGAGGTGCTGGACTGGCAGGATTGCCATTTGCTGCCATGGGGGAGTCGGCAGGAGGAACTGGCATGGGGGAGGAGGTGGCTCAGGAGGGCAGCTTGGGAGGCGGCATTTTAGCATTTTCTTTTAGTAAGGCCATGATCACGAGCCCACGAGCCCATGGGGTGCTAATGTACCTGCCTGTGCTCACCTTCATCACCAAAGACGTTCATCTTACCTGCATGCTAGGAGACTGTCTTCTTAGACTTGAGATCCGAGTACCAGGAGACTGGCATCTGGGACGTTACCAGAAAAGGGCTGCACACAGATGCGACCACCAGACTCCCACAACCCTGACAGCTCTAGGAAGATGCGTGCTTTGATCCCATGGCCTGAACCTGCTCTTGCTGTTCTCAGGTAGACAGTGAGGGGAGAAGCCCTGTGTTACCCTGAAAGATAAGGGAGGATCCCACCCGATGGCCAACTGCAAAGCCACAGAGTTTCCTTTCTTAGTGACAGTGGCTAAAAAGGATCATAGGCCACACCAGTCCCAGGCAGCAGAGCAGGGTCACAGAGGCACCATCTCTGCCCCACCCAGTGGACCCTTGCAAGTGGGGTGCTGGGTGGGCCTGCGCTTTGCCTTCAACCACAGCTCCACCCCATGCAGAATTCACCTGCGCCGTTCTGCCCCACCCAGAGGGGCAGTTTCACTTCTCAGGGGACTTGGATCTTCTTTTCTGACTCACAGACCTATTTTTGACTCTCTTGACCTGACCAAGTCACCCTGCACTGGGGGTGCCCTGCCAGGACTCCCGTGGGGCCACCCACCTTCACGTAGCCTCCTCTTCCTCTTTCTTCCTTCTGCTTTGCTTTTCTTTCCCAAGCTCAAACCCCGCCGCCCCCTCTGCTTCCCCCGTCCTGCTGTACCTGGGATCCTCTTTTCCGTAAATGGCCACTGGGCTGCGTTTGGTTTGCTGCCCCCGACAGATCTCAGACTGAGCCCCTGGGCCCCAGGCGACACCTGAGATCACTTCCCAGCTGGAGACTGGACAGTTCCACAGACAGACCTGCTTCCAGGGCTACTGTCTTTCACAGTGGCATTTGGCACTGAAAAGCGCAGCTTCCTCACAGAACAGGCCAGGGACTCAGCTCAGGAGCACCTTGATCTGAGCTCCCTGCTTGGTGGCGAGAGGAGCTGAGCGTACACCACGTGTGGTGACATTCTTCTGCAGACAGACACCTTTAGCTGTGCCCCCTCTTGCCCCGTCCCACAGGGAGTGGGGACATGAGACAGACCACGTAGCTCTTTTACCAACTTACACCTGCAAGGGTTTCTTCCCATTTTTAGGAAACTTTGCTGATGTGCAATGTTGACTCAGCAGAAAACACATGGTGGATAGGGGATGCAGGGGGAGGGAAGAACTTGCAGTTCAGACTTTGACAGGTGGCAGCTCTCAGTCTCATCATAGAAGATCAAGGCCCTGCCAGATTGCTGGATCACCCACCTGAGACACAGCTGGGTCATGGTAGGAGGGGCTAGCCACCTGGGACACTGCTCAATTACAGTGAGAAGGGTGAGGCTCAGGGATCCCCCCACCTGGGAACATGGCCAGGCCTTAATAGGAGAGGTCAGGCTCAGGCTGAAAGCACTGGCTTTAGACCCAGACAGGTGGGGTTAGGGGATTGGATGCTGGCTTTGCCACCTGCATGTCACTCCAGGCAAGTGGCTCGGTTCCTCAAGCCTCGGGTGCACTGTTGATGCTATAGCAGTAGTAGTATCTGCACGCAGGGTGGTTGTGAGTACCGAAAGCAGTAGTATCTGTAGAGTGCCCGGCACCAAGCCGGACACATACGGGCTGCTGGCTTTGGGACCCTCTGCTCTTTGCCCCAGCACTTGCCGTGTCCCCTTGATGACAGTGGTCTGCGGGAGAGTGCTGGAGGCTGGCTCCTGAGAGTAGCGGCCCACTCATGTGCCCACCCTCTTCTGGGTGTGGCCCCCCATTCCCTCTGGGAGAATACCCTCACAGGATTCTGTGAGACCCTAGCTTGTCCGCTTTTCGTGGTCTCCAGCTCTCCCACCCCTGCCCTTAACACACCTTCCCATCTCACTCCTCATTTCACAACCCCTTTCACCCTTATACTCTGCTCACCCTTCAGGTCGCCTTCCTGCCGCCCTGTCTGTGCATCCTCCTAAGCAACCCGGATTTTGCCAGGTAGGGGACTATTGTGGTCCTGCGTTTGCTCCCTGTGGGCTCTTCCTGGCTAGCATTAGACG